TACGCTCAAATAGAGCACTGGAATGTATTGGCATGGATTCATAAATGGCTAAAGACCAAATCAGAGAGTAGAAATTAATGGTCATTCTCGCAGTGGTAGGTTGTGACTAATGGGATACCACAGTACTTCGGCCCCAACTAGTTACTTTATATATTAATAATTTAGAGTTGGGGACCATAGGTAACATAAAACATAAAACATAGAACTGTACAGCATAGGAATGGGCCCTTTGGCCCACGATGTTGTGCTGAACATGACACCAAATGAAACTAATCCCTTCTGCCTGCCCTTGGTCCATATCCCTCCATTCCTTGCATATTCATGTGCTTATCCAAAAGTCCCTTAAATGCCCTTATTGTATCTGCCCCCACCACCACCCCTGGCAGTTCCAGGCTCCTATCACTCTCTGTGAAAAAAACTTGCCCCTCACATCTCCTTCGAACTTTCCCCCTCTAACTTTAAATTCATGTCCCCTAGTATTATACATTTCAACTCTGGGAAAACAATTCTGACCGTCAGCCCTATCTATGCATCTCATTATTTTATATACTTCTTTCAAGTCTCCCCTCAGCTTCCTCTGCTCAAGAAAAAATATGTTAAAATTTGCCGATGATAGAAAACTAATTGGGAATGTCTGTCGTGGGGAGGATTTAAAGTAACTCCCAGAAGCTTTGGACAGGCTTAGTGAATGGGCAAGAACATGGCAGATAGAATGCAATGTTGAAAAATGTGAGGTTATCCATTTTGGTAAGAGAACAGATGTGCAGATGTTTCATAAATGGTAAGAAGTTGAAAAGTGTTGATGTATAAAAGGGCCTAAGGGATGTTATTGATAAATTGCTGAAGGCTAACAAACCAGTGAGCAAGCTATTAATAAGACTAATGGAACATTAGCTTTCATTGTAAGAGAGTTTGAGTACAAAAGTTGTGTAGTCTTGCTTCACTTATATAATAGTTTGGTTAGACCGCACCTGGCTGACAGTGTACAACTTTGATCTCCTTATCCTAGGAAATATATTATGTATAGAGAGTGCATCAAAAGTTCTCCAGGTTTGTTCCTGGGAAAGTGTCCTATGAAGAAAAATTTGGCAAACTGGGCCTGTATTCTCCAGAGTAATCTCATTGAAACTTGCAAAATAGTTAAAGGAATAAACAGGGTAGATGCAGATAAAATGTTTCCCCTGGTTATGGAGTTTAGAACCAATTTAAATATAAGTGCAGTAACACTTCAGTCCATGATGAAGAAAAATATTCATACTTAGATGATTATGAGCCTTTAATATTCCCTACTACAGAGGACTTTTAGAAGTTCAGGCTTTGAATATGTTCAAAGGAGAGATTGCCGGATTTCTGATTAACAGTGGTGGTGCATAAAGTTATGGAGATGGGCTGAGTAAAAGGCATTGAATGGTTACCCAGATGCAAAACAGGCTTTTAAAATGGCATGAGTGCAAGGGAAGCTGGTTTATTGACTGATAATCAGAGAGTGGTGAATTGACCCAGGAATGGCATATTGTAAGATGGGCTAGAACTGGATGTAAGGGATGCCATCAGGACAAAGTAGATAATTAATGCGTCATATTTTGTTAAGATATAGAGAAATTTCATTGGGACCCACAGCAAGAATGCCTCCAAAATCATCAATACAACTTGCTCTTAGCCAAGAAAAGATGATTCAGCTGATAGTGTGGATAAAGCTTCTGTTTAAAGAAGGGTCAGTGGAAACGAAATGTTAGGACAGTAAAATATGACAAGAAATTAACATAAAGAGAGAGAAGGTACTAGTGGGTTCAGCAGACCTTAAAAAAGGTAAAGCCATTTGAGATGAAAGGGAGGGGTATCAAAGGCCTTGAAAGTAATTTTAATTCTTTACGGGTCTTAGGTGAGGTGCCAGTTGACTGGAGGACTGCTAACATTGTACCATTATTGAAAAAGGGAGGAAGGGATAGGTAAAGAAATTATAGGCTCAGTTGAAACTCGGTGGTGGGGAAGTTATAAAAAGAATTTTGAGGGAGAGATAATATCTGGACTTGGAGAAACATGATGCGGACATGCCAGTGTTGGACAGGAGTGGAGTGGACAAGGTCAGAAATCAAACAACACCAGGTTATAGTCTAACAGGTCTATTTGAAAACACGAGTTTTCTGAGCCTCACTCCTTCTTCAAGCGTTAGTGACAGAGGTGGTGTTAGACACAGAATTTATAAGTAAAAGATCAAAGGGTCATACCATTGATGAGGATTCATTAAACAAACCTAAGTTCTGTGAAATCCTTATTTAGTTAGGAGATTTTAATTGATTAATATGCATATGTAAATCCCCGAATTCCTTTCAAGTTGCTGTCCTGAGAGAACTAAATATTTTATCAGCGGAAAGAAGAGGTGACCTTTTAGGTCAGACAATGCATGTTAGGTGGGAGACCCGTCATGGCAACTTCTGCAAGACATGTCGGATCATCTATCATGTCGGTATTACCATCACACTTGGGAACATCACCCACCAAGTACATGGCAGATACTCATGTGACTCAGTCAACGTTGTCTATCTCATACACTGCAGGCAAGGATGTTGTGAGGTATGGTGTATTGGTGAAACCATGCAGATGCTACGGCAACGGAATGGTTGATAGTTTAACCAGGTTTCCAGGGATCTTTGATTATGTTGGCTGCTTTTCCAAGGCAGCGGGGTTTATAGAGGGAGTCAATGGAAGTAAGGCTTGTTTTCATGATGGACTGGGCTGCGCTCACAACCTTCCACAATTTTTTGGGGTCTTGGGCACAGCAGTTGCCAGACCAAGCTGTGATGCAATGGATAGGATGTTTCTTTGATGTATCTGTAAAAATTAGTCACAGTCATTATGGACATGCCAAATTTCCTTATCTTCTGAAGAAGTAAAGGCATTGGTGTGCTTTCTTGACTGTAGGGTCGACATAGATGGGCCAGGACAGATCGTTGGTAATATGTACTCCTGGGAACTTGAATCTCTCGACCGTCTCCACTTCAGCACCATTGATACAGACAGAGGTGTGTCCTCCACTCTGCTTCCCGAAGTCGATGACCAGTTTCTTCATTTGGTTGACATTGAGAAAGAGATTGTTGTCATTACACCATGCCACTAAGCTCTCTATCTCCTTCCTGTACTGTCTCATTGTTGTTTAAGATCCAACGCACTACGTTGGTGTCATCAGCAAATTTGTAAATAGATTTAGAGCTGAATTTGGCCACACATTTATGAATGAATAAGCTGTGAGTGCAAATAACATAAAAATGATCTATATGGTGGTAAATAATGAGGAGGAGAGCTGTAAAATGCAGGAGATAATCAATGGACTGGTCAGGTGGGCAGAGCAGTGACTCATGGAATTGAACCCCAGAATGTGTAAGGTAATGCATTTGGAGAGGGCTAACAAAGCAAGGGATTACATTGTGAATAATAGCATCCTTCAAAGTACTGAAGATCACTGAGACCATGGTATGCAAATCCACAAGTAGCTGAAGGTAGCAAGATAAACATATAAAGAGATTAGAAGGCATATGGGATACGTGTATTTGTTAATCATGGCCTAGAATACAAGAGCAAGGAGGTTATACTGGTTGGGTCACAACTGGAATACTGCACGCAGTTCTGGATAGAACATTATCGGAAGGATGTGATTACCCCAGTGAAGGTGTAGGGGATTTTATCAGGGTGTTGCTTATGTCTGAGCCATGAGAAAATAAAATTGGATAGGCTGGGGTTACTTTCCTTGGAGCAGCAAAGGTTGAGAGGAGCCTTGATAGGGATATGAAACGTTATGAAGAGTGTAGATAGAGCGGATAGGAAACCACTTTGTTCATTAGTAGAGGAGTCAATACTGATGGGAGATTTAAAGTCAGAGATAGGAGACTGAGAGGAGATTTGAGGAGACTTTTTTCACTCAGAGGTGGCGGGTGCCTGGAACTCACTTCCTGAAAGGGCGATTGAGTCAGAAACTCTTATAACATTTCAACAATATTTAGATATTCACTTCCTTTGGCATTGCCTCCTGGGCTATGGGCCAAGAGACGGAAAGTGGGATAAGTATTGTCAGATTTTTATTGACCAATCTCAATGTACTGGGCTGGATGGTCTTCTTTATTTGCTATAAATGTCTAAGTGTCTATGAGGTTGAGATGCTAGCCTTACTGTCTCATTAATCTAAGGATCAGGCTATCATGTCCTACATCAAGATCTACGTTTGGTGGCAGACAGTGGGACAGAGGGAGAGAAGATCCCTGTTAAAATTCACTGGGTGTCTAATGAAGTTAATGTACCTTTACCCATTGCCTCTTTGTTCCCTTGTTATGGGTGCAAACAATGAGACTTGTTCACATCAACAATATTTACAAAAAAGCCCTATGAAACATCATGATGTAGGGGGTAGTTTTCTGCACTTCCTAGTGGCAGGAAATATTATTGGAAAATCTTTGCCTGCAAGAGCTTTCTCTTTCACGCATTAGAGATGTTCCCCACCACCAAAAGAATGAAAAATAGAGACAATGTTATATTGCAGAAAGACTGAGTGGTAACCACCCATGGAATGGGATAAATCAATCATGAGCAGACACGTGATCACGACCACCAGATTTGTTTCAATTAATAATAATGGTCTTGGGATTACAACACAATGGTTTGTCTGAATGTATATACTCCCTATATCCAGGTGCAATCCTGCAGCAATTTCACATGTGTGATCTATGATTTCCCCTGCAGATGCTTCATCTGGTAGCTCATAAAACACTTCTAATTACCATTAGAAACATAGTTTGTAGTGCACTGTAGGGAACAATTTCAGAGTGTTGGCATAGACAGTGCAGTTTGCTTTGTTTATACAAGATATAGCTACTGTCAAAACAGATCATTCAAAGATGGACATATTTGGTAATAATAATGAAGTTTATTTTCAGGGATGAGAAGTTGTTAATGACCGACCATCAATGATGTCATGTTTTATATCCATTATCTTAAAGAAAACGAGTCATCAGTTCTCAGTAATGTCCTTTGTTGTACTGCTCGGCAACATATTATGCCTTATAGGGATAATCTACTTCAGATGACACTTCAGAAGAAAGGTAACTCGAGCTTCGCTGCATTATAGAAATTGTTTTTGCAGTAATTGCATTGTATTATTACTTCTCCGTACTGGATCTTTGCTTAAAACAATTGTAAATTGCTGCTCTTAGAAAGGATTATAAGCATCATAACATATTAAATATAACAGAATGGCAATTTTAATTATTTCTGTGGTGTGGCTTATGTTTTAGGTTTGAACAAGATTTCTCCTGAATGGCAGAAGGCTGAATTTTTGCTTTACAACTTCATTTTCCTGCTGTACTGTAATGGATACCATTTGACAGCCCCATTCTGTGATTAAAGCTCATTCAGGGAAAAATTTACAAAATGGCATTAAATCAAAGTATTGAAAGTACTAAATGGTGCCAAAGCACAAATGCATGATGTTGAACAAGCAAATGAGCTTTCCGTTGCTAAAATGTGCATTTCCACTAATTGTTTCCAACCACGTGTAACATCAGCTAATACTGTCACAAGGATTAAAATATAACTAAATTACAATATAGCTAGTGTTTCAACTTTATAGAATATGGATTTTTTTCATGATATAATAGTCAGTTCTAAAACACTCTTGCTGCATTTTACATACTTTTTAAAACATTATTAGTATGAATACTAAATAAAAACCCAAGGCTTCACACACCTACTGAGTATCTCAGCTACAATAGACCACAAGGTCAAGGTTCAGTCTATGTTGAATTAGTTCAACACATTTTCTACAATGATAGGGATTTTGTAATTACCTCCTAGTTTCAGAGGCGGAATTGGCCTAGGTTCCCACTTCTGATCCTTAAGCAGTGATCCCAGATCGAAGTGTGAATATATTGATTTCAAGTGAGTGGTGACCTCACCTTTGTAGAGCATTCAAACATATAAATTAGGAGTAGGGTTAGGCCATTCGGCCCTTTAAACCTGCTCCATCAATCAATAGCATTATAGCCGATCTGATTGTAACCTCAAATCTGTATTCATGACTACCCTTGTTACCTTTTCACCTCCTCATTTAACAAAAATCCATCTACCACTGTCCTAAAAATGTCCAAGGACTCTGCTTCCACCACCTTTCTATAAAGAGATTTCTAAAGACTCCTGACTTTCTGAGAAAAAGGATTGACCTAATCTCTGTTTCAAATGGGCAATCCTTGATTATTAAACATTGAATCCCTGGTTCTAGATTATCCCATAAGAACATTAGAACGTCAGAACCATATCCCAGTGAGGAGTTAATGACTTCACAAGAGAGGGAAGAGAACATCCTTTTTCAAAATTTGCAAATTATAGAGAAACAATGAATAAAAGTAGAAGTAAATCGTAAAGGATATGAATGAATAAGAGAAGCCTAATAGTTTCAGAGGAGCAAACAGTTTAATAATTTTTATATTTGACCCATTGTGATATAGCCAATTCATGTTGCATTGATGTAATTTTCTGAGGAACTAGACACTCTCATGAATTGCCAGTTTTGGAGTCTTGTGGGATGACTATTTTTCTCAGTAGTACTATTAAATATCCAAATGCTGTAAAATAGTCATATCAGTTAGCAGTTGGCCCTAGGTGCTAAGCTTTCTCTTTAGAAATATAAATATAAATTTAAATCTGGTATTTATTGAGCACTTTCTTCATTTTTGTATATACAGAATTTCATTCTGTTATTATTCTATGTTGTCCCCACGCATTTCTTTTTGAACTGGCAAATGTAAAGCTGGCGGAGACATGATATGCAATCAGCTAGCCATTTGCAGAAGAGCATAGGATGAGTGAGAAAATTAAAAACAAAAAGAAACTGGAATCATTTAAAAGATGAGCAATTTTATACTACTCTTACATTGCAAAATTTTTATATTTGTTTTTTCCACAAATTTGAGACTGATTTTAGTGTTGTTCTGCCAAGCATATTAACAGGACTTTAAGGACAGCAGAAACTAAATAAGCTGTATGGGTGTTTGTAGATAGATATAAATAAAGTGCAGACTAAAATACAGAAAATTTGTTTTCTATTTGAAAGAGCATGTTTTAGGTGTGAACAATCATCACTTGAAATGTTAACTAGTCAAGACTTTTACACACGTTCAGTTCTTAAGCTAAATCATCCAGCAAAAATAAGGTTTAAAAATGAAAACAGTGATGATTTTTATGTTTTACTGTTATTCAATTTTAAATGTATCATTTCAGGCTGAATGCTTTATATAGCCTTTGAATTGTTGGAACCCAATGCTTTATTCTTAAATCCTAAAGTCTGGTTGCATAGAAAAAAATCACCAAATATTTACCTCAGTCAGAACTGATTAATTTTTAGCAACGGGTCAAAGGAAGTAAAGGGTTAATGTGTACATCGGTATTTCAGGGCTATATTAGTGAACCTGAGTGCGACGTGAACTCAACAAAGCAGAAATAACATTAAAATAACATGTGCGAGAGGATTATCTTTTCAAGTGGTCAAACTTTGACTACTTTTAGTAGAAATACGAAAGGGTTGCTGAAAGTCAATGCTGATTGATTGTCACTCGTGTCATGATTTGTAATTTTCTTGAAAGAATACCCAGGGGGCATATCTTCAGATTTACAAGGAAGCAGTTTGAACTTTAAAATCCCATGGGGAATGAGAATTACTGCAAACAATGCTGAGGAAAGGGAAAATTAAAGGTTCCTCCTAATGATCTTGTATTAGAGGCCTCTTTGGTGGTCTGAAAAAGAGGATTATAGGTTATTCTTTCTCCGACTACAATTTATGCAGCTGCTTTTCCTATGAGTACTGGCTAAATTGATAAAATATTCCATTCCTTTGTGCAGCGTCTATAAGCAGATATATGGAAAAAGTTTTTATCTGTCATTTTTGTCAAATATATTCTAAGTCTAGATAAACACTTTCAGTAGTATCCTGCTGTTTCTATTTATCAGAGAATGTAACATTTTCCTGCATTCTGCAGATAAATGTGTTTAGTGCTCTGAGATTGAACATCAAATAAATTTTGACCTCAGAAATAAGTGTAGGCACCATAGAAACAATAACAATATTACATTGACTGTGGGAATGAAATCAAAGCGCGCTGACTTCCTTCAGTGTGATCCTTTTACAGAAAAGATTTTAGATAACTAAAAAAAACCATATTATTAGTGGAGACATCCTTTATTGAATCATCCTTGTGTCATAGGTTGCTTTTACACTCTAAAATTTGTGAGGAGAAAATACATTATCAGCCTTTCCAATTTTGTCAAACAAACAAATGAGTCCATTTGAGACCATTTGCATCTTGTATAAAACCTGCAGCTGAGCTTTGTGTTCAGAGGTGTAATGACCGGTTGTCACAACACGCTGGAGGTGGTCCCATGACAAAATGATCCCCTGTCACTCCTGTCGCAGGAAATGCAGTGGCAACCTGTAATTCATTCTACTCACTGGTATCCTGCCTAGGTTTGTAAAATAGCACTTTGCAGGAAGTAAATCTGCTGAAGTTGTGCTTAACAATGTTTTAACAGTAATATTTGACGGAAGCATTTTAACTGGTGCATGGGGTTAGGCAAGATTTGTCATTTGTTGGTACGTGCAAGCTTTAATCTTTATTTCGCTGGGGAAAGGTTTTGTGTTAAGATCAAAAAAAACAAAATAGGTGGAAGCAATTATCTCCTTCAAAGAAATTATTCTTTTCCACTGATGAGCAATTCTTTGTGAACTTAAATGATATACATTCAGCGATTGATATGTAGCCAATGTTAATATAATTCATAAAGTAAATTAGGAAAGAGGCACATATTAACAAAACTGAATATATTAATTTGCTTGTAGCACTCCAAGGTATTTGTTCTGTGTTAAATAAAACATCTCCTGTAGCAGATAAAGATATATTTCAATCTTGTAATGCCACAAGCTTATTTATATGGCATTCATGCAGTTAATGAAGTGCACATATGCAATAGATGCAATGTAAAGTTTACAGTATAAAACTAAATCACTGTCGGTGGAGAAATGACAAGAGACGAGTAACCTCGGTCAACCGTGCTACATCAAGATTGCTGCCTGCAGCCACCTTTTTGTTTTTTCCTGCCCTGGGAAAATCCAAAATAGCCAAAGATATGACGCTCAACATAAACTCTATTCGTTAACTTACCTCTCCCCGGCAACTAGGGATGAATCAGACTGTTTACGCGACGTGTACTTGACTCTGAAATGAGCGACTGACTACAGGCCTGTCTCATCATTAAGACTGCCGGCAGCCCCCTCGGAAACATCACCTAATCTCACAATTTCTTCAGCTCATCTGTTGCCAAAGTCTCTTGACTGAACTATTCTAATGCTGTCTGGGCAGCCCAGCCATCTACTATTCTCCCAAAATTTATCTCATCCGAAATGCTGCTCCTCATATCCAAGTTTTCAATTCCCATTCACCCATTAGACTTTTGTGCCCACTTATCTACAATTGAGCAATGCCTGGATTTTAAAATTCTCACCCATCTTTTCAAATCCCATCATTCCTTGCTAATGCCTTCCTCAATCATTTTGCTCAACCCTGAGAGGCTGAGATGGATCATCTGAAATATCTGTGCTGTTTTAATTCTGCCAACTTGTATATCGGCAATTTTATGCTTCATCATTGGCAATTCTGTCTCGACTCCCTGCCCTAAACCTCTCTGTCTCTCTACGCCTCATTCCACCTTCAAGGTCTCTTTTAACAAGTGCCTTTAGTATTGAGCTCTGTTTGATAATCCTCCTGTGAAGTGCCTTGTGACATTTTCAGTATTAAAAGCACTATATAAATGAAAGTTGTCCCTGTTAAAATGGAAATACACAATAAACAAATCATTATCCACTGAAATCCAGGATTCTCTGTTGCTCAGAATCACCTGCACTGTTTTGATAACTTTAGCCACATTAACGCTGAAAGATCCAATTCTTAGCTATTCAGATAAATGTTTTTTTTTCAGTTGTGTTGGATCAATCCACCAGTTCTGACTATTTATCATTTAGTGAAATGCCATCAGGGATCATGCATAGAATCTCTAC